TCTGTGATCGATAGTATTTGCGTTGTCAAATTTCTTAAACGAGTTTGAGGTCTTTCTATATCAGTTGAAGAGGGCGTCCAATTTTATCATTTGTTTGTGACAAAGATTCCTCAATCCCAGAATGCTTATTTGACAAGCTCTTTGCTGCTTAATAAATTTATGTGAGTTTTTAATAACTGAAAGGTACCGACTACTCAGATCTCAAGGTGGCAGAGCTTTCTCTTCGCTGCTGTCTGGTTGTGAGCGCACACTTCTAGTACGTCTGTGACTTATACCTTGACTTAGTGTTTTGGATCAAGTGCATCTCTGTTTTACTCACCTCCAATCCTTGTGAAATCCGCTTCTGTAACATGAGTGAGGCAGACTCGGAGAGAATCAACTGACTCTTCTCAAGTGAGTGAAATGTGAAATTGGATGAACAACTTGGCGTATGGGCTGGTTGGAATGAGCAATACTTGTGTGCGCGTGCATAGTTGTTTTCCAATAGGAATACTGTGTGGACGCAAAGGAAATAGAGAGTGTGGTTGTGGGCTATTGCAATGGAGAAAGTGAGCTTGAATCGTTGTACTGAGTGGTTGGTTAAGATCACTGACAGCCAGCATTGCACTGTGAGAAGGACAGTTTAGATCGATGCGTGAGTTGGGTGGAGGCTTAACGATGACGCCATTTCCAGTTCGATATGTGGGGGTGGGGGGTGGTTGGGGTTAAGGAGCCACTTCTCAACTTTTGCAAAGTAGGCAATATCTCGCAAGCACTTGTAAATAAACTTCCTGGCATTTCAACAATTTAGGCGCTACTCATTTTGAGTGGTTCTTCAGTTTGCTTGTTTTTTTTGTAGGTCTGGATGCATTCGGACCATGTCACAGTGAATTGAAGTATGATCTTCGAGGTCTTCAACGTGTTTATCGGAAAATTAAAAACATTGAGAAAATGAGGGAGGCTATCCAAATATATGACCAATGGATGGAGTGCCGACGACATCACGAGGCCATATCTTCAAGCATTGTTGTTGAGGACGCAATGGAAGGTTACCTTGAGCCTTCTTCTTCCTTTGTTACGCATCTGGACACCATATGGAGGGAATTCCGTAGCATATTTGGGACGCTGTTGGGTGGTAATGGCGTCGAATATACGTCCCAAGAATTGGAAGGTGAAGGTAGCGGCTCCAGACGATTGTAGATGCCTCTTGTAAATAGTGGCTTATTGGCTTCAAGCCCTGTGCTTTCATTCAAAGGCTGTTTTTTTTATTGTATTATTATTTAGAATGGAACCAGAATGATTGTTGTTTTGATTACTTAAAATGGTGGTGGTGGTGGGGCTGGGGAGGGGAGGGGATTTGTGTCAAGCCCTTTATTTACCTTGAGCGCATTCATCAAACCTGGACTTCCATATTCGCTTACTTCATAATTCCCTTTACGGAGAAGGTGACAAACTTACTATTCAAATAGCTGCCTCTTAACCTCTGCAGAGCGATTGTATCTAATGTAAGTTGAGATTTGTGGTCAGCGGTTTTTTATTACGAGGAAGGGGGTGGAGTGATGGTGGGGGAAAGAGTTCAGTCCCGGTGTTCATTATTATTATTTCAAATTGCAGGCTTTATGATATTTATCATTAGCCCTTAAAATTTGACTTCAGCTTTGCCCATTATGGGGGGGGGTACATTTATAGCAGTCAATAGCAGTTCATTAGCTGTCTTCTTGCTTCCTAGTATCTCTGGCTAACTAGGCAGCCAATCATCTTCTACTTATCCGATTTACAAAAGTATTTACTTCAAATGGCAGAATTTATGATATTTATCATTAGCCTTTAAACTTTGACTTCAGCTTCCCCCAAGGGTGGGGTGGGGTGTACATTTATGGCATTTAATTAATTTCCTCCTGTAGGTTACATAGAGGGCATGTGGGTTGAGTGTATACTCCCAATCTGTGAAGGTGTTATGCCAGTCAGTCGTGTCCGGTACGTAGTCTAAACTCAGCAACGCTTTCGATTCTTGGCCAGTCGGGTATGTCGGAGAGTGCCACTGTCCACTGTTTCTCCTTTGTTCGAGCCTTAAGTTCGTTGCACCTTGAGGTCTGGAATTCTCTCCTGATTAAGGCCTTCATTGTGTGGAAAGACATGGGCCGGTCCATGCATTGCAAAATCGTTTCCCCTTTCTCAGCAAGTGCGTCAGCAAGCTCATTGCCTTTAATGCCACAGTGACCAGGAATCCATTGTAGGACCACTGTTTTGTTTTTCTCTCTCAGCAGCTGATAGAGTTTTCTACATTCCTTTATCTCAGCTGTTTTGGGTGGCCCTCTGTTTCAAATTGAGTTTATTGCTGACTGTGAGTCCGAAAGTATCACCGCTTTGGTGAATTTCGTATCTAGGCAAATTAATTGGCGTAGTGCTATCCTAATTGCCTCTATTTCTCCTTCAAAAGCGGATCTATTGTGCCCCTCTGCTGCGTAGAAAAAGCAGAGTTCGGAATAGACACCTGCGCCAACGTTTGCATTGTTTTTTATGTATGACCCATGAGTGAAGACTTTTTTTCAGATGTCTTGGTCTATTCTCATATGTGCTGAAGAATTTATCCATGGGAATGCGCAGTAGCTTCTCATACAGAATCAAGGCCTTTCCTTTGATAAGGGAACATATTGTGGTGCTTCCTGTAACCAGGAGCATTGCATCGATGGGTGTTTATTTTATCCCTCCAGTAATTAGTCGTAATGCTTGGTTGTGTGCCTTCTCGAATGGTTTGAGATTCACCTCTGTGGGTGTAATGAGTGGCTCACAGCAATACAACATTATTGGGTGAATAAAAATTTTGTATGTGGTGTTTAGATCTGAGCGTGCACAGCCCTTTATACTACCAGCAAGGCGCTTCAGTACATTCAGTCTGCTATTTTAACGATGCGACGTTTTCATGTTGGCTTTGTGTCAAACGTGATTCCGAGATGAGTGAACTCATTGGTTTTTTCTAGGGTAGTATCCTTGTACCTTAGAAGCGGGTTTATGCTGTGTCGGGCCAAAGAATAGGTTTGGAATGCAGTTTTCGTGGTGTTGATAACCATTCCACACCAATTATGGCACTATCTGTCCTCTCCTTAGCGTTTTTCTTAGGGGCGGAATTCCATGGAACATGATCATCTGCATAAAGTAAGTACTTGATGCCCGTGACTGTTTGTACCAATTCGGCTACGTAATTGATGAAGACATTGAAAAGAGTGCAGCTTGTGACAGCTCCCTGTGGAAGACCTGTTTGTAAAAGATTGGATTTTGATAGAGCATTTCCATGTCTGACTATACATGATCTTTGTCCTATGAATGCTTTAATCCAGTTTAGCATGTAATGCTTAATGCCAATTTTTGCCAATTTTAGAATTAGCTTCTCTTTCCATACTAAGTCATATGCTGATTTGAAATCAACGAAAACAGCCGTAAGGGTATTTCTTGCAACTAGGGCATGTTCGGTGTGTTGGGAGAAAGTGGCTTCTTGTTTGTTCGTTGATCTTTGTGGCCTAAAACCTGCTTTTTCACTCCTAAGAATATTGTTGGTCTCAAGGAACCAAGTCAACCTCCTGTTAACCATTCTTTACATAAGTTTAGCCAGCGCGCTTGTGAGGGAGATAGGCTTATGTCGGTTGAAGGTAGGAGCAAGTGAGGAGTTGTTCTGGTTCCATTGCAGTGCAAACCTAGCAGGATCCTCATTGCTGTTAGCATGTCTTCGATTTTCTTTCCAGCTATGCTTGTATCCTTGTAGCCCCATTTGGTGAAATGGGCGTTGAAGTCGCCTAGTACTGTAGTTTTGTGTGAGATGTTCACAAAGTCAAAGTTGGGACTATTCTGGGGTGGATTTGTAGACTANCCCCCCGGCTCTTAGCAAATGTGTCAGCGCGCTCGCTGCCTTTAATGCCACGGTGTTCGGGAATCCATAGAAGAACTTTTGTTTTTTCTCTGAGTCCCTGAAATAGTTTTATTGTGCATTCGCATTTATCAGCCGTTTTGGCAGGTTTCCTATTTCCAGTTGACTGGTTTTGGACATGTGGATTTAGAACGGATGAGAGACGTTTAAAGCATGAACTTTTAAATAGATATTTTAAGTTGATCCCCCTAAATGCACATCGATTTCAACCACATACAGCAATCCTACTTTTGACGGAACACTTCATTGACTGAGTTTTAACAATTCCTTTAACTATAGAACCATACAAATGTGTTAACTAACTTAAGTAATGGACAAATCGGCAACGGGTTTGACCCCAAGGCTTACACTAAATGAACAAGCCAAATCTGCCAAGCTTTCATCCTTTTATACCCGTTTTATTGCCAATTTACGACTTTTTCCTTGGCTCTTTTCACTGCAACCTATTTAATAAAGGTTTGTTCTAACAGACATTAACATTCTACTTTCACTGAGAAGCGTAGAGGACCAAATTGTTCAAACTAATGATATAAATCAAAAAATAATCTAAATGACTAACAACTTTTTTTAAAAAAATTTATTTAAGATTTAACTTTTTCTGAATTTCTTAAACTTTTGGAAGGTGATTATGCAAAAGTTTTTTGATAATGGTTACAAATTCCCATGAGATTGGAGAATGATTTAAATAAGCTTGCAATGCGTAATCAAACCCAATTCAGGATGCAGGGTTGAGTGCGAATGATAATAAAGAACAAAGGAGAGGTGCCCAGAACTGAGTGGCAGCTTTTGACCACAGAGGCTGAAAGGTTGAATGCCTCAAGAGATACGATTTAAAATCGATGCTTCCCATCTGCAACAACAACGCCGCTTAGTGGATACGAGGAGGGGAGGGGAGTGGAAAAGTGGTAATGATTGGAAATAAACATCATTATATTAAAAATAATTTTGAATGAAAACAGTATACTTAAACGATTTGTTTAAAAAATATAATAACTTTGAGGGAGCGTTGGCTCAATTTCAAACAGCAAAGAAAATTTGAAAATCGAAGTTTCTTTGCATGCACTGTTTATTTAATGTATATTCTACTTTAATGTATATAGTAGATATTTAAATGGATAGTTCATTAAAACAAAACAATCGTTTGACGAAAGTTACGCAAAGCCAGAAAAAATGGTATCCAATTCAACAGCCATATAAACACACTTTATATTAAAATCGGAGATTCAATAAAAATTGAAGTAGTCTACGCCAATTCTCCAGACTCCAGATAGATTGATAGATTAAAAAATAAAATTTGTGGTTTGCAATTAATAGAAGAATAACATTGGGATCGAATTGACAAAATTAATTCAGTTAATTTTAGCTTATTTCATAACTCTGGTTAAGAAAACGGGTATCTTATTCGTTGAATACAATGGCTTGCCCATTTGTAACTCTCAAGCAAAGTTCAATTCTATGCCATATTAAAATTGTTAGTTCTGTATGGGCGATTTCAAAAATTTCGATTTTCTTAAAGTGTCTTCCACTGATCTCTATAGTCTTCGGGTAGTCTTTAACATGTTATCTCTCTAAATAGGGTGTTTAGAAACCGAAAATCAATCACCAAGTTGGTAGACTGTTTGACCTATTTTAAGAATGCTTTATGAATTATGATATTTTCCATTTCTTTGCAGCACAAACATAAAGGTGCCTGTTTTAGAAATTGATTGTGCACTTTTCTGTACTTTTATAACTTCGGGTTTCACACATCAATTTACACTTTTGAGATAAATGATGCCCATAAATTCACCATTTTCGGACCGCTGGTTGGCATGCCATTCCAACCTTCAAATTTGTACGGCTACCAATCACAGTTGGCTGTGATTTACTAATCAAATAGGGCATGCTAATGGTAGACACACACTCCAATACACATTAATAAAACAAAAATAATTAGCATTGTTTTTATTGAGCAAAAAAATGAAAGAAAATTGTATTACTGTTTCTCTTGACGAATTCGAGATATTTCCTTTACGCTTTTTTGAGGAAACCGTATTTACACGGTGATTTACTTTGAAACTGTTTCCATGAAGACAGCGGTAACTCGATTTTCCATTAGTCTGGAATGCTGTGCTTGGTGAAGACTACAATTTGGTAATGAATAGCCCCATTTAATAAGCTGGTTAAGATTTTAAGCGGTTGAATTAGGTAATTGTAGTAAAACTAAGATTTAATTTCCGAAAGTAGCATTAAGATGATTTCATTTTTAACAATAGCAATATACAGTGACCAATGCAACTGTATTGATTTGATGATGGTTCTAGCTTTAAATTTACAAAGCTGAAATTTGTATAGTCACCCTCGGATTTTTGGTCTACATTTTTAACTCTTCTTTTGCTGCAGCTACTTTGATTGAGGAGGGGTGAGATAGACTTACCTCCACATGGTGCAGCCCATGATCCCACTGTGAGTCATATTCGACCACTTACCTTTTCTCCGCCTTTGTGTCTGTCTGTCTCCTTAACATCTTTGAATCACTCTTCTGTTCCCCCTCTCTACTTTTTCTCACTTTGATGTTTCTCCCCTCTGTGAAGTCCGAAGTCAGCTAAGGGACTAATAATAAGTGCCATAAAGCCCGCCATTTGAAATAATTAAATAAACACTTTGATTGAGTAACTAATCAAATACACAGTTGCTAATATTCAAAAGAAACACTTCACTCAAACGCATTGACATAGTCTTGAAAGGAATTATTATCAAACCGAATAAAAATTAGAACTCACAGTGGAATCATTTTAATTCCTAGTCTATAATCTCCATTTTGTTTTATGGTTGAGTACGTAGGTATCGTTGTAAAACTTTACAAGCCTTTAAACATATAGAACACACACTTTAATACCTTTGGAAGACTTATAAAAGCGTAGATCTGGGAAGCCCTTAACGGGTGTAAAACTTTCCTCAAACGAACAGAATGCTTGCCTAGAAATATTTATTATATATAATAACTGCGCGTGCGCATACACTCACGTTTTTAAGTAGTAGTAGTTGCAATCAATTCAGTTCTAAGAGAAAGGTGAATGAAAAGCAATCTGCAATAAACTAACCAAGGAGAAAAAATGGCAAATATTGACGTAAACGGTGTTTTTAAGCAAATATTTTCTTCAAATAATATATAATTTTGCTGATAAGCAAATTGTCAGAATCGCATCATCTCCCACCCACCCACCCTCCCTCCCCAGAGCGGCACGACGTTTTGTCCCCCCAATTCACCAAGTTCATTATGTTTTAATGAGATGTCCAGTTTGTCCTATCACCACGGGTTCATAGGTTGGTGGTGATCTCAAATAGATTCTCACCCTCATCGTGTCACCCCCTCCCTCCCTCAGGGTTTATTGGTTTCATCTAAATTACTTTCATGGTTAAAACCAATGCAGATGTAATTTTCCTGTCTTCAAGCTAGTTCTAGACTTGAATTGCAATATGCGACATCCAAAAAAAACATGGTATTTAGAATCATAGACCTTATATACCGAAAAGTGAACATTTACATTTTCAAGTTATATTCTCACTTACTCAGCTTTTGAAGTAGATGCCGAAATATGGTAACAATCTTGATTCTCCACTGTCAGTTTTCTCATTCTTGACTTCCCACTTATAATCTTCAGCGAAATTTTTCCGTTTTTTCATTTCCAATTTTTAAGCGAATCTCAATGATTACAATGTGTACAGTTCAAAATCGATATACGAGGCACGGGGTGTGGGATAGACTTACCTCCACGTGGTGCACCCTGGGCAACATATATTCATACGGCAAAAAAGTCTATCAATGGGCATTTGACTTCTGACTTCAAACTGCCATGACCCCACTGTATGCCATATTCGACTACATTCACAGTACTCACCTCACCTTTTTTCTACCTTCGTCTTTGAAGCACTCTTCTGTTCCCCCCCCCCCCCACCTCTCGACTTTTTTTCCACTTTGATGTTCCTTCCCCTCTGTGAATCCTGAAGTCAACTAAAGGGCTAATGATAACTATCAGAACGCCTGCCATTTATATAAATAAATAAATATACGAGGCACAATAAGACACGTTTTTTATTCAAATAAACATTTCTCTTTAGGGCCGAGGAGAGGGAGGAGATTTTAGTTGGACACGAAAAACATAATAATAATAATAAATTTTAAATGCAATGATACTGGAAAAATTATTTCAGAATTGGGGGTTGTGAGAGAAATGTTTTTGGTAATTTTTTGTGCAAATAATCCTAACTAGAAGTGGGTGCAGTACTTTCTCACGAAGAGAAGTGAAACAACCGGACCTGGAGAGAGAAAATTGAATTAGTTTTGCTTAACTCAAATATGCGGTTGGGCAGGTAAGACCGAATTCGGAGAAATTATTAATGACTCCTTTTCTTCATACCACCTTGCCAATGCATGAATCCCCTCCAGGGTATAGAGGAGAGTTGGTAGTCGAGGAGGGGGAGGGGGAGGGGGGGGGGGGGGGGGGGGGGGGGGGGGGTAGGGGAGGTGGGAAGTATATTCAATTACAGACATTACGAATATGTTCGCTAACTAACTACAGTAAAAGCTTTCTATTCGAAGTATATTACTGACAAATTGAAATTATTTACCTTAGTGAAGCTTCAATTGGCCAGATGGAAATAAATATATGTTTTTAGAAAGCATAATTAATTGAGGTAGGTAATGCATTGCCTTCCCATTACCTATGTGGATTTGGGGCGTGCGATAGACTTACCTTCACGTGGTGCACCCTGGGCAACGTTTACTCATACGGCAAAAAAGTCTATCAATCGGCAGTTGACTTCTCACTTCAAACTACCATCACCCCACTGTATGTCATATT